GTATTTCAATCTGGAAAGAATAATTCGGGACGAGTCAAAACAACCAATCACAGCCAGAGGAGCGTCTGATGGAGTGTCAATCACAGCTCACACATGCTGAATCCCGCCCCCCCCCTTTCTGGTCGCATGCGGTAGCCACGCAGATGCTGTGAGAGGGGTGGAGCTTGAAGGTGGGGCATGAGTGAAGCAGAGAGGGTGGGGGAGTGGCGTGAAACCTGTTTTTCTTCAAATTTTCAGTCGAAGTCTGCTCTCTTCTCAATGTTACGGACTGCAGCTTTAAGCTACTGTTAACATATTAGTGTAACTTAGCTTGCTATAATTCTTTAGGTGGTTGCTTTGGTGTAGTGAAGCTTAATTTATTGTTGAGTAACTGATAGCTTAGCTCACTACACTGGACAAGTAGCTTGCCCAACACTGCCTATCAGAATCAGACACATTGACAGTGATCATGCTAAGCTAGGCTATTGTCGGCAAGTTTGGATATTACTTGGCTTCCTATCATAGGCTCAAGTTATGAAACATTGCTTCGGCGTCTGGCTGGCTATAACTTTCGCGGCCAAAGTAGTAGGCTTAACACCAGAAACGGATGATAAAAGATATCTGGTAGTGCTAAAACCATACGGTTTGTCTGTCCTGTTTTCCACTAAAGTAGCGCAAAAGGCTAGCTGGCTCACAGCTGAGACAACGAACTTTAGTTAACTCGCAAAAACAGCTGAGGTCTGCCCGCTGGAAGACGACAAACAAATAAATAAACAAAGTAGCCTACAAGCGCGTTCTTACCTTTTGTGCAGAGAGGCTACGGTTTGCAGCCTGATGTTGTTGATGATCTCCTCAATGTTGTTGCCTGCCTACATCCGAGTGAACAGCAGTCACTGCAAACATCTAGTCATACGATGTCAAATTGTAACAGATTACATTCACCACAATCGATCATAGACTAGTTCTACGGAACCCCGAATGATTCATAATTAAATAAATTAAAAACTTTATTAAATAAATACCATTTTGATAAATAACACACAAATATATTAAAGAATAAAAATATATATTTCATAATAACATTACCTTGTTTTTATTTCATGACCATATTATATATTTGTTTGTTATTTATCAAAATTATATTTATTTCATAATTTTTATTTATTTATTTAATTATGAATCATTCGGGGTTCCATATAGTTCATCCACCATTCATTTGGGATATCCGATTTTTTGTATTTTTTTTATATTGGTTTGTTAGGTTAATTGCCATGTTGATATGAACCTATCCAATGAACTGGCACGTCATTATTACGTCAGACGTAAATTCAATCCACTCTTGAAAGGAATGAGTTTGGGGGTCAGTTCTACTCATATACTAAGAGTTAATCTTGTCAAAATAATCAATAACTGGGTAACCAGTTGAGTGAACTTAAAACATTTGTGGTGCCTAAACAATATGGCAGCTTTGAGGACAGCTCTGCAATTGTATTGAGTTTATAGCACTGTTGGGGAATACAGTGCAGCTGAAACAATCATCCTGAAGTAATTAGTCACCTGCTGTCTTATTTGGTAATATTTAATTGAAAGCATGTTGAGTTAAGCTTTCTAAATAGTGACTAATTTTAGAGCAATAGCATACACATCAGTGCAATACTTTAAGCTAACTCCAAATAATTCTTTGTTGCAAAATACATTTGCATTTGTCCCTGTCAGAGGAGAAATTTGTGTTCCCAAATAGTTAGAAAATAGACCACAGAACTCCTTTTTGTGTGATGTTTTCATATTGGTAACCTACAGTTAAAAGTATTGTGGAGGATTTTTTTAAATACCTGCCCTCTCCACTTTAAAAAAAAAAATTGCGAGCAAGAGCATGGATGAGCCAATTTGTCCTTGTGCATGGCCTCCTTAAAAAGTGATGTTCTCATACAAGCTTACTGTGTCCACATACAGCGGGGACTATATAGGGGACTTTATAGCAAAGTCAGTTAACTGACCGTATGGACAGACGATTACTGCTTTTTGCTCTGTTGGTCACGTAATTCCTCCTCCCCTGTGCGGTGCCTGCACCATCATAGTTATTAGTCTCCACAACAGCCTATTAGTAGCGACAGACTATAGCGACAGCAGGCCGCTGTGAGAGCAAATCGTATAGTGCTTTGTGAAGAGAGCTCTCTGCACATAGAATTCTGGGATATATCTGCCTCTGAGGTTGAACTTTAATGACTGTCTGAAACCATAGCTGACCATAAATATGAGGCTGAAAATGCTCATGCACAGAAAAAGATAGCTAACAGGACAAGCATGTAGGACAGCTTTACATCAACATATCACCAGAATGATTAACTAGAAGGAAATAAAAGATCATCCTCTATACCTTTGTGTTTCAGATTATGCAACATGTAGTTGTTACACCTGCAGGTCCTCAGGCACTGCTTTACATCCCGCACATATCGGCTGTGGGGGCAAAAGAGGAAAATACAAAACAAAAACAGGGCAAAAGTTCATACATCTAAATATTAAGTGAGCTGTGTTATGATAGTTTACCAGAAGATTATGAAAGTATATAATAACTAGAACTGGAAGTTATAGTTAATGAATAGGTCATTCAAATCAAGGGTAAAACAAATTATTATCAGTTGAATGATTATAACTGTAATTTGCTTACTGACCAGGGTTTTAGCCTCTTATCTTAAAGGTTGGACTCCTGAATTCGACTGTAAAATATTCAGTTCTTTTACTAATTTAGTCATTTAGGCTATGACTGTCAGCAATGTTGTTAACCACCAACCAAATAAATATGTCTCTGTTCATTCGGATGCTACTGAAAAAAGAGTGAATCCAACCTGAGTGATAAATCGTTCACTGTGTAAAATAAGCACAAAAGACCACAGGTTAAGATAGAATGGTACCTTTATTACTTACAATCCCACAGTATTATATCTAATAATTAAGCAGACACCAAACGCTGCAAAAAATAAGCAAAGATAAAATAATAAAAGGGGAAGAGGGGTTTAAAAGTCTGTTTAAAGTTTGAGGAATGTTTGAAGCTTAAGGTTTAATGCATTTGAAAGTGTCCTTTAAAATAGCAGTAGATAAAATGTGAATTAGCCCTGACGCAGAGATGTTAACTGCAGTCAAAACAGTACAGGAATGCATTAAACAGCAGTTAGGCTGAACAAAGAAGAGGGTTAACTCACGATATAGCCTTTATAATGTGATGCAAAAGGTAGCGGGAGCTACAATGCTAGCCAGTCCACTGGAGCAGTTAGCTTCAGAAACTCGTTCAGTCTATGTTGTGAGCATCAGCATTCACTTAAACTCTTAAAACCATAAGCAGTTGAATCAGAGAGGTTATTCAAACAAAACACCAACACGACTACCTATTCTACCTAGTTCACTCAAGTAGAGCACTTATTAAGTATCCGATGGAAAGGAGGGGGAAGGATGATGTTACTGTTTTGGTTCGGTGGAGTGAAGGCCTTCGGCACGGTCCGGTTTTCTGCAGACCAGTCTTCTGGTCTTCTGTCCAGTCCGTCAGTCCAACAGCAGCTCTAAGATATATATAGATCAATTCGATGCAATAATAAGAGGCGACTTTGCAAAGAGGTTAATTTTATAACTCACTCCCTTTTAGCTATCATGGTAAGCTTGCCGCATACTTCAAACAGAAGCTCCTGTGTGCTACTCCATCTCTCTGTCTCAGATAGTCATGGACCTGGCGGCTTCTAATGGCTCCTTGGATTGGAGGGCCCCGTTTTTCAGCGGTTAGATTCAGGTTAGCAGAGCTGGATTACCTCTTCTCTGTCTCTGCTGCAGAAGGCTTCAGGAAACACTGCGTTCAACTTGGTTTGAATCGCAGGAAGAATAAAAACACTGTGTTCAGGTCCTTCTGAATCACAGGAAAAAGGCAGTCTGACTCGGTCCAGCGAGCGCAGACTTCTCAGGAGGAATTTGGTCGCTACTGAGTGAAGCCTTCAGATGGGGAGTGCTCACACTAGCCTTATGCAGCCTAGGGTCATCATCAAATTAGAACGATGAAACAGGAAGTTACCTCTTTTAAAACCTCAGAGGGGTGTATCTTCAGAGGGAAATAGTTCCGGTTACATCAGTGACACTTGATCCAAACAGCTGCTACTTTCATGTGTGGACACCTAAGAAAAACAAATAAAAACTGTGATCCTGTCTAAATATGACTATAAGCTTAAAGTGGAATAAATTATTTTTTTGCATTATTTAAAAAGTAAACCCTAAAAAATAGATACAGGGACCAATAAATTATGGCTTATACAATTATTTGAAATGTATTTAGTATTATGTCTTTAGTACAGGGGCCACAGCAGGGGCAAAGACCAGTTCTACAGGGGCCCTTGGGCCTGCTGGCCCCTGTCTAGAAATGCCCATGCATATCGGGATATTAGTACTCAATGACTAAACCAGTTATAGTAAAACAGTTACTTGTTTCAGCATCACAATTATCTTATAATTACCAGAATCAAACTAGTTTTAATGTAGACTTACCCATTGGTAATTATCCTAAAGGTAATATTAAAGATGATATCCGATAAAGGACCTTGACAGGACTTCATCTTCAAATGTTCTATTCTTGATTGTTGTCACAGCAGTTTCAGCCTCATCTATTTCACTCTCCCCTCTTGCCTGACTAAACAAGACATAGAACACCTTTGACTTTCTTCATAGTTTGCTTCCTTAGGTGACCTTTATTCTCCCTGACGCCTTTAGTCTCTTTTATTTCTGGCCTTACCAGGAATCTCTGAGTCAGTACTGGCAGCTTTTTCCTGGAGCATTTTTTGGATTTGTCTTATTAGGATGGATGTTGCCATCAGTTTATTGCATTAATGACTTTTGTGTCTTAGAGAGTAGGATTGTAATTTGTAGTTATTCTAGCAGAAGGACAAATCATTAGTGGTGCTTGAGAGCTTCTGACTGCAGATTAATCATTGTCTTTATTGTAATGAATGCATTACAGATAACATCTGTGTGTGTTCGTCTTTCTGCAGATTCTAAGCAAAGATCAGATCAAATATATTTGCCAGGCTATCATTGAGTCAGGAAAGCAGTACGCCAGGAGGAAGAGAAAGCCTTTCCCGCTAATGTATTCATACTATGGAACAGAATACCTCGGTAAGAACATTAACTTTCCCCTTACTTATTTCATTTTTTTTTAACAGTTTTCTACATAAGCCCTTAATCATTCCTAATTTATTTACAAGTTCCCTTGAAAAAGCCTGGTTTTGTTTTTTGTTCTCTTTTCAACTTTGTAAAAGACCCTTAGATGATCTACTGATATAAAGAGAGTGTGCCATTTTAAAACCTTTGTACAGTCCTGCTTCCTCAAATGCCTGTCATAACGGTTTTATCACTTTTAATGATAAAAATGTATTGTTCAATTCCAGAACTTCAGTAATGTGGAAAAAAAAATATGAACACCCCATTAAATATTCAGTTTCTGAAGAAAATGTTGAATATTGTTTCATTTTTTTATTTATCTCTGGAAAACCTGCAGGTAAGCACCTGTAATAAAGCTAATTTTAAATGTTAATTGAAATGTAAGAAAAAGGCATTTATAGCTTAGGAAAAAGTTACGACACCCTACATTCTGTTTCCTAGCCACACACCTTTTTTAAATAATAGTTTCACATATGTTTTTGTAGTCTGGATCACAGAAAGTTTTCTCTCCCCCTCACCTTGTGAGATGTTTGAAGGGCTTCTCTTACAGTCAGCCTGTTATGCGGCATCATAACTTTATGAGTTAAATAAAGTTATGAAATTTGACCTCAACATGAACTACTTTTCATTTCTTAATTCTCAGTATCCTTTGGCAGATTAAATACTATGTTTTATATCAGACACAGCCTTATTTTTTTAAATAGATAACCTCACATTTTCCTCAAACGTCCTCTGATACACCTTAGAGGTCATGGTGGATTTTATGCTGTCCTGGTCCATTTGCAGCAAATGTTTATCATCATGCAGTCTCTTTTTCAAGTAAACTTTATTGGACATGTATTACATCTATGCATGGTGATTGCTCTGGCTATAACTGCCAGGAGAGTCCCACGCTAAATGGCTGAGGTGTAAACAGGGTGACCCTATTTCAAAAAGCTGAGTAATGATGTAACCATTTAAATCTAATGTGATGCAGCTATGTGTAAATTTAGTTATCATGGACAGAAATATATGCTTGGTTGTGTGAATCTAATCCTGCATAGAAATTACATGTTTTGAATTTAGTTATTACCTAAAATGTTTTTCCATTGTTAAAAATTGCTATCAAATATCCATATTTGCTATAAAAACACAAGCAGACTGGTATTAGGTGTCCTGATCTTTATACATGACTGTGTCTCTGGCTGTAGAGCTGTTGTGTTCATATGTGTAAAGCTAACTGTGCTTTTCCCGACTGCATCAGATGAGGAGAAGCATCAGGGCTGGAGTTCCTCACTAACTTTCAGACAAGCGCAGAGTTCATAGTAAGCATAGCCCTGCTGGTCACCTCTGCATGGTTTCATCATCAACGGCTGATTGAGGGGTGAAACAAGTTGACTATTTTAAGAGTTTTAAGAGTTGGGCGCTTGTTTAGGGATCTGCATGTGTTCAACTTTGCCTGTCCTGAAACCTTTGCTTACCGTTTACCGTTTGTACAGTAGGTTTCTGATCCTGAAAGAAGACTGCAGTGTTTGTAAAATCCCAGAGAGCTTTGGTTGCACTGCATGTGTTTAGCGATGTTAATGACTCTCTGTCCAGGATTCATGTGATTTAGCTCCACCTTTCAACGATCTGGCCTGATTTAAACCCAGTGGTATTGGTTTTTGGGAAAAGGGTTTTCCCAGTTTGTAGGTCAGAGTTATTTTCAGTTGCGGACCTGTGCATCTTATTTATAATATGTCATGCTATTGACCCTAAAACAGATTTATGAATGACAATTTTGATTGCTTTTGAAAAAAACAAAACACCCAAAATATTCTGTTATTTAAGTCAATTATTAAATCAAGAATAATATACCTTTATTTACCAGGCTACATATGGCAAATATGTCAGTGAAACTGATTTTGAGACAATTTGAAGGCACAATCAAATTTGCATTAGTTTTGTTTTTCTTTTAGCCTATATATGTCAATTAATGTAAATGTTAAAAAAATATTCACCTATATACAAAACCAGACAACCAAATCTGTGCACAGCCAAAGTTGATTACAAGAAGCCTATGACTCAATGACACACACATGGATCCTGGAATGCCTGAAGTCCTACAAGACCAACAGCCCTCTAAGAGCCTTCATGTTAAACTCCATGGTGCTGTGGAAAACCACACATGAGATCAACTTCAAACCACTTGGAAAAATCTCCATCAAGTCTGGAATATACCAAAGAGATGCTCTACTCCCCCTTCTGTTCTGCATAGGCCTGTACAGTCAAATAATCAACAAGACTGGCTATGGATACCAACTTGTAAATGGGGCCACCTCATGTACATGGATGACATCTTGCTGTTTGCTACGAGTGAATAAGACATTGACTTGCTGATCCACACCACCAGGATGTGTGCATCTGCGCAGAATACAAACTGGCGACCCACAGGTCAAAATGGGAGCCACCGCCTAAGGTGGTGGAGAATGGCAGAGCTAAGAACCTGTGGGACTTCCAGATATATCAAACCCTTTTCATAATTTTTAATAAGATTTTTAAGTGTTTGCACTATTTTAACAACTTCTCAATGGTGACTGAGCTCCAAGTTTTTGTAACATCTTCTTGCCATCATCCTAATGTTTAGCTCCTTCCATCAGTTCTCTTCTATATTCAAGTCAGAACCCATGCTGGGATGATCCAAAGTTGTATTTGTCAAAACGAGTCAAATAAAAATTAAAAAACTTTAGCCTACACCTTCCAGGGGGGTAAAGAAATGTTGGGCTTAACTGATATTGAAGCCAGATGTCATTGATTTACTCGCAGATATTCTCCAAAGTTTTCTCATTGCTGCCAGGTATAATTGCTGAGCCAGGTCAGTGAGCTACAAGAGGCAAAAAGAAGTCTACATGCAGTCTGTTGTCAGTGTTTTATGCTTGTATCTTGCAAGGCTGTGTCTGTTTGTGTGCCTGGCATAGTGTTGGCCTGCATGCCTGGTTTCGTTGGTGCGTGCATGACCCACTCCTCACGGTGCCTCCTTTTAGGTGCAGCCCATGGCCTATCTTCAGTGCTGCAGATGCTGCTAAGCTACCAGGATATGCTCAGTGGGGCGGAGAAGGACCTGGTGTGGCAGAGCGTTGATTTCCTAATGAGCCAGGAACAGAATTGCAACTGGCCGGCAGAGCTTGGGGCCATCATCGAGAGAGAAAACGAGCTGGTGCACTGGTGCCACGGAGCGCCGGGTACAACAACTGTTAATGATGTCGTTTCACATTACCTGTTGCATATTGTGGTTATGCTAATGGTTCCATCTCGTCCTGCAGGTGTGGCGTATCTCTTTGCAAAAGCCTATCTGATCAATAAGAAGCCACAGTATCTGGACACGTGCATCCGAAGTGGGGAGCTGGTCTGGCAGAAAGGCCTGCTAAAGAAAGGACCTGGCATTTGTCACGGGGTTGCAGGCAGCGCTTATGTCTTTCTGCTACTTTATCGTCTCACAGGCAATTCGAAATACCTCTACCGTGCACAAAGGCAGGCAATACATTTTCATTATTCCCACTGGTCTGAAGTAGATCGGCCATAGACCGTCTGTAAGATCGAAATTTCATGAGATGTGTCTGAAACTGGCAGTAAATTTGATTTTCCCAGTATGTCATAAAATGGTTGCTCAGTTAAACTAAACTTTCTTTCTGACCTTCATTTTAGTTTTCACACAGCAAAAATATGAACTAAGATGGGAGAAAACTATTTAATTGTACTTTATATCTAAATTATTTAAATGTATAGCAAATAAAGTATCGACATTAAAACAAGCTTCAATTTTCCCAAGAGAGATACCGTAGCTCCATGAACCACTGCTGTTTATTTTGTTCAAATTTTGGACCAAGATTTAGCTTTATGATATGTTGCTAAATATTTTTGTCAGGCTGCTTAAATTAACATTATTTGTCCAAACATAATGTGAGCTTAGACCTCAAAAGAGTTCAAGTCTGTTCTTATCAGACTATATTTCAATGGCTTGTCAAAATTTATTAAAATTAGCTTCAATATTATTTTTCTTGAAACAGGTCCGTCTCTCTTGTTAGACTTCAGCTGATGGAAACTCATGTTATTATTTATTTTCTTCTTCAGTAAAAAATAATATAAAGGAGTCCCTGATTATCCCTCATGTCATGTAAAATTGCATAATTTCTTTTTCTGGATTATGGCTTTACTCTTTTAATCTTTAACTTTCGAAAGCTATGATTTTTTTCTGTAACTAACACCATCAACTTGTGTTTCAACAAAAAAAGATGCATTTACCAATTTAGAGATGTTCTATAAGCTACAGAGAGGTAAAGAGATACCATTTGAAAGACAGAATTTATTTAATTTTTAATGGATTTCTATCCTGTTTTATACCTCCCTTTATTTATGTTTTCATTACTCATTCCCATCCATCCATCCATCCATCCATCCATCCATCCATCCATCCATCCATCCATCCATCCATCCATCCATCCATCCATCCATCCATCCATCCATCCATCCATCCATCCATCCAGCAACACAGAGGTAAACAGGACAAACAACCTTTCACGCACACACATACACTTAAGGAGAATTTAGAGAAGCCAATTAACCTAACGATCATGTTTTTGGATTGTGGGAGGAAGCCAGAGTACCTAGAGAGAACCCAACCATGCACAGGGAGAACTTGCAAACTCCATGCAGAATCGGGAATTGAACCCGGAATTTTTTTGCTGCAAGGCATCAGTGCTACCCAACACATTGATGTGTTTAGTACCTATTTTCCCTGCTGATGTTTATCTTGAACACAGCTACATGTCGTTAATACAAATATACACCAACCAATGTGATCTGCATCAGCAATCAGCTGCTGCCAAGTGATTTCATCGTTTACTTTCTGTTTTTTTCTTCCACTTACAGGTTTGCAGAGTTCATCTTCACTGAGGAGTTTAAAGCAGGCTCGCTCTCTGTCACCAGCATCTACAGTCTGTTCGAGGGCCTCTCTGGGACTGTTTGTTTCCTGGTCGACCTCCTACAACCAGACCAGTCAGAGTTCCCTCTGTTCAGTGTCTTTGTGTGAATAGAACCAGCTTGGCAATGTCTCCTGAACCTGAACAGAGGTTATGATTGTTACCCTAAAATTCTTCAAGATAGAATGAAAGAGACTGTAAAACAAGGATAGATGCTGTGATTGCTACAGTAGATAAGTGTGTTAAAATAAACCAGCCAGTCACAGTAGATAAAGAATGGTCTTGTTTTGTTTGGATTAACACCCTTCAGGTTTATCAGATTTGCTGTTTCCCTGTAACAGAATCCGTCTCACTTAAGCAAGCTAATATGAATGTTTATAGAGACTTCAACCTAAGTTACATATTAATAAATCTGCTTCTGATTTCACATATCGCCAAAGTTGAATAGAAAATAATTAAAATTGTTTCAAATTTAAAGGTATAATGGAAGATTTTGCTAATTTTTTAAAAGACCCGCCCTCTCCACTCAAAAGAAATGCACATGCACAACCCTGTTCCCGCTCCCGAGAAGGAACGCCTGTTAAATGTGTGCAAAAACATGCACGCTCTGTTTAAAAGTTGCTGTTTGCATCACTCATACAAGCTTATTTTCCAAAAGCAGGTTTTCAATTTTTAAACTATTTCAGACTTGCCAAAGGTACGTGAAAATTGGGAAGAACACGTGGGACGGCCTTACGCAAACATATTTCCAGAATGATTGCCAATTAGGAGAACCGCTTATTTTGATTATCCACCTGGAAAAAGAACATCCTCCACTATACCTTTAAGGAGAACAAGAGCTATAATACACAAAGGAATACTCATTTTCTCAGCCCAGTGTTTGGGTACATTTAGCACTAATTCTCTGTAAAAACATTTAACAAAAATACTTCATGAAATTCATTTTCATAATATCAGAACAGAATATAATCAATCAACAAACGCTGGCAGCTTGTAAATAACTGTTGAAGGGACAAGTGGAAGCTAACAGCTTGCTGTTTAGCAGTGCAAATGCAAATCTGTTTACAGTATAAACAGAATCAAGAAAAGGAGAATTGATCTCAGCTGTAGTTTTTTTTTATTTCTCAGGAGTGTCCGCTAATGATGAAATATTTTTTTTGCATCTTTCTGTGCAAAATCACGGTTAATGTATTTACTATAACCTGTAGCCACTGCAAAGGCAAATAACTACTCATGACATATTCTGTCACATAGCTTCTTGTAACTATCTCTCAAAACTCCAGTCTGAGTTTTAGCTGAAAAAAAATCATTCACTGAAGAGCAACAAACTACTGTAAACTGACTGAATGTGCATCTTAATCTTCCAAGATGCTGCTCTCAGTGCAGAGATAAACTATTGCACTATTAACAGCCTAAAGTAAAGGAAGTCACACAAAAGTTAATCATGCTTTAAAAAATAAAAACAACATAAGTCACATAATGCCTTCAAAGTTTTCACCAGCTAAAGATCATGCAATGCAGTGAGTTTACGTCTTTAGTGACATAATCTTTCACTTTGCCATTGCCAAAACCTTAAATAATTGCTAAATTAAAAAGAGGAATTACTGACATTAAGCTTTCACCGTTACTGATGTCTGTAAGAGTACAGCTGCTGTGTTGATACTTTTAATCGTTGTAATAGTGTCACTATGTGTTAAGTGTTATGGCTCACCTCTTTGACGTGTGTGGCTGTTTTTTGTGTGTGTGATTCTGTTTCCAGCTCTGTTTCCTGCTGTGTTGGAGCTTTGAAGATGTAAGATGGTGTGATTTTTTCCACTCTGTGGGAAAAGACAATATATAGTTCTAGACTGTAGCTTTGTGGTGGGAAAACAACAAACAAGCAAAGTCTGGTGTCTATTTTTTTGTCTTAGTCTGTTCCAAAAGTGACTCTTTTTCAACTTATATGAGTAACAGGCAGTAACTTATGTCTCTTCTTTATTTTTTCTATTGTGGCCTTACAAAAGCATTTGAAAACAACTCATTCTAAAATACAACAAAAAAAAATTGGCCAGCTTTTACTGTATTAACAAGTGGCTCAATTTGTTAAAAAATATCTTCAGAACACCCAGAAAAAAAGCCCGTAAAAAACAGCAAGCTAAAGCCGTTTCTGATGATTCTGCATAGACTTACATTATATGATGGCATGTGTGCTAAAGTATTTAATAAAAGCTTTGCTTTCATGTTGCCTCACATGTTTCTGTACATTTAACATAATTAAAAGAATAACAGATATTTAAAGTGAAGTTGTAGAGCAAACATTTGTGCATAATTGTGACCATTTTACTGTATTGTTCCAGTCTTTCTCAGTTTTACATGGGAGTATATAAATATTATTTCATTTATATTATCTCCATCTAACCATTATTTATTAAAAAAAATCTCCAGCTGATCCCATTTTTAAATGTCTACCAACATGATGTCCTCAGCTTGTAGATCTCTGATGACTTCATTGCTAAACAAGTCATTTATTTATAACTTCAAATTAATTAAAACATAAAGTATCCTCCTAATTTTAGAATGTTAATGAGGTGATTTTTCCTTTCAGATGATAGGAGGTTAGACTGAGATTGAGGCAAAAGACATGATCAAACTGTCAAAAAAAAAAAAAAGCAACCACAAAAAATTATACGTATACAATTATTTCATTAAAACCAGAAATAGAATCATACTTATCAGTCTAAGGTGTAGGTATGCTGTTTGAGTCAATCAGTAAAGATTTTCCTTCAAGACGGCAGGTTAATAAAGGTTTTTTCTTTTTCAAACAGTTGCTGCACACATACAGTATTATCAAACCAGAAGTTTAAAAGATGGAGTTCAATTCAACTTAGAGAAATGATTATCACTAACACTGAACTCAATGTGTACAATTACAAACTCTTAAATATCTCCTAGAACTTTGTCGCTCCTGTGCATGACTTCATTACTTCCAAATCAGACTACTGCAAATACTAATATTTTGGATTTAAAAATATCTGTTGATGACCTTCATGCGGTCCAGAACGCTGCAGCTCGTAACAAGTACCAGAGAGCATTACCACATCATTCCAATTTTAGCAGATTTGACTTGGCTGCCTGTTCAGTTACGTATTGTTTTAACTTTAACTTTTTAACTTTAATTTTTTAACTCACTTTTAAATGGTTAGCCACACAGCTAGTTCATAGATTTTTTATAAACATTTAAAACAAAAAAGAGCACTGCGATATTCCACCCAGATCATTTTGATAAAGATGAAAGCCAGGTTAAAGGCAGAGGGAATCAGGCTTTTCAACCCCCAGACATAATTTGCCCGGGATTCATAAGGCAGATATCTAAGGCCCTTCTTGAAACCGATTTTTCTCATTAGCTTTTAACTAGAGTTCAGTTTGATTTCCATCAGATCTGTTAGATATTGTTTTTGTTTTCATATTTCAGTTTTTTTTAATTCAATGTAATTGCACTTTATGATTGTCTTCTGAATTTATTTTGTTTTTGTACCCTCTTGTGAAGCATTTTAATCAACATTGTTTCTTTGAAATGTATCAATATTAAAACTGTACATTGTAATATAATAAAAAGATGACATTAACTTAAAGTTCCTCTGAGGTCTGGTAATAGAAAATCAATTGATTCAGATGTGTTTGAGAAGAGGTGCTTAATGGACAGAGGCTCTCCAGGTTGGAGACACTTTGTCTAAATGATTCATGAATATTTGCAGCTGTAAATATCCATCCTGTTATCCAATGGGGAAACTATAATAGGAACTAAGAGGTGTGGTTGTTTCTAACAGGTCATAACTATACTGTAGGTCATAAGCTAATGTAGTACCCTTCAGAGAATGTGCTGTAGATGTCACAAAAAGGATTACTTTTAAAAGAATGTTTGTAGGATAAATATTGGACTTTGCTCACATATGAATTATAAACATTCCTGTAGAAGGAGACACTAAAGACCTAGAAATGCATCTACAACACATAGGTATATATTAATGAAAATACATTTGCTAGCTGAAGTCAGGGTTATGCTTTGGTTACATTACTTGTTCCTCTCCAGAGAGAAAGTGGGTACAACAGAAATCAGGAATGGAAAAGAAGGAGTCAGAATCAAGTTTATTGCCAAGTAGGTTTGCACTTACAAGAAATTTGACTTGGTATTGATGGTGCAGACAAATCAGACATATATACAGAATACAGAATCTATAGCTATATACAAAATAAAAAATACAATATACTGTATAAAATATATAGTATATAGCCATATATTATATACACAGTAGACTGTGCGTTAATGTAACTCAGGAAGTCTGGAGATGCTACATTGGTGTAGCTTGTAGGTCCTGAACTGGGAAGAAGAGAGGCAATGTCAGTGTCACGGGAGTCTCTGGTCCTTGTTGGTAAGGCTGGTAGCTGGTAATTGAGCCAGCTAATAGGATGTTAGAGAGAACGGTGACAATAGGAACGAGGATTTTCTCATCACTCAGAGCACCCCGGCATCATATACTGACAATGGCAGCCAATAGGTAATGAAGACCGGTGAGGTAATCCTAAAAACAGCTTGAGTTTATTTGACTGAAGGACCAATTTAAAATTAAAATCTTCCATTAACATAGAGCCAATAATCAAACACAGGAATGCAGATGTCTGGGTACTTAAAAGGATTGTTAAGGACATTTTATTAATCGCACAATAATATAGTGCTATGGTGAATCTTGGCATATATGACGTATTAGTGAAGTAAAAACACAAACTAAACAGAGACGAGATATTCTTATGAATTGTGTCACCTGTTTTTAATTGAAGTAGGAATTTTACAGCACAAGCAAGAAGACTGCCAAAAGTTCATAAAGAAATTTATAATAAAGCATAGCAGTCTTAAAATGTTTTGATCTGCTTTTTAGTTTTACTTTTTATGGTTGGCCATATGTATGGTCGACATGGTACACTGCCCAATTGCCCTCCACCCTCAAATCAGATCTGCCAAAAAGCCTTTTGCTCTAATCTCTCTGTCCCCTCTGCTCTGTGCTGGGCTGGTTTTGTCATTTTCTCTCTGTGACCAGGAGAGAGCTTTCCCACAGTGAACACCCTATTACCATTTAGTATGCAAATAAGCCTGTCATTAGCCGGATAATCCAGTGTCAAATTTCTGTCTGTTGGAAAGGGGATAAAAATTTGAATAAGTTCAGTTAAAATTCCTCATCGAAATGTGTGCTGTATTATGTGTGCGCCTAAAGTGTAAGCATATCCAATTACACAGGTGCAGAGAGATGCGATTGCTTGGAGCATGACAAGGCTGTGGAGGGCAGACAACTCACTGTATCCCATGCGGGGGAAAAATGTATCACAACACAACACTTTAGCTGAAATAGCAATTCAGTTGTTTTGATGTGTCTAGCTGAATGGAAAGAAAGATAGAAAGAAAGAGATAGAAACAGACTGTCATGGTTTTGGTTATATTGTGCTTTACTTTGCTCAGTGTTTCCTAGTTTTATTGGTTTAATTCCTTTTTTGTTGTAATTTCTAG